TTTTTTTTGGTACTGGGAATCAAACTCAGGACCTTACACTTGCCAGGCAAGCACATGTGCCACTGAGCTATATCCCTGGCCCTGAGATTTGTTTTGGTGTATGTGTACATGTATTTAACATATTTTTAAAAATTACTTTAAAGAGTAAAAGAAAGATAACATAGTAATGGGGGGCTTACTGAATTATAGACAAAGTGATAGGAAATTATCAACGGTTGTTGTTTTACATGTTGTTATCTACAAGATAGTTTCTCAGGGAAACAAATAGACAAATAATAGTGAGTTACAGACAAAAGTAGTAGGTTATTATTAATGGTTGCTGTACTATACTTTGGTATCTTCAAAGTGGTTTCTAAAGAAAATAAACAGAGCTATACATGAGTGACCAATTGAATATTCATTGACGATTCTCAGTGGTTGTTGTAGGAAACACATAGTAATAAACATACATCCACTTATGAAATAGCATAGGGACAATACAAACATTACAGAATTATGGACAGATTAGCAGGAAAATATCAATGGCGGTTGTAAAACATGGTGGTATCTTCAAAGTGATTTCTCAGGAAGACAGAGCTATGCAAGAAAGATTTAAGAAGTAGTTACAGCCTAATGGTTGTGAAAAATAGCATATTACCTCCTCACCAGTGACTCCTTTCACTGAGGTGTGACAGCTGGTAGGAAGGCCAGGATTGAAAAGAAGGACCGAGAGACTTGCACCTGTCTAGCAATAGGCTGTTTTCTTGTTCCTCCATAGTCATGATTACCCAGGGCTCCTCCATGGAGATGACAGTCTGGCCAGAGGGAGAAGGCAGAGTATGCCCCAGGCCCCCACATTCCTGTTAGACTAACTGGTAGGATGGGTCTGAGCTTTGGGGCCTCCACTTCAGAGAGCAGACCTATCTCCAGTGGTCACCTCTGCATTCAGGGCATGGCCCGGGGGGCCTCTTAGGGCAGTTCCTCTTGAGGTGACCTGGCTTTTAACAGTGGTAGCAGATGAATGCAGTTGTTGAGTTCTTCTTGGGGCCCCAGAACCAGACTTAGGGTCTGTTTCTCTTAGTGCTGCAGCAAAAGCAGCTGCTTTTTCTCAGTCTCTTTGTTTTCTCTCCTTGGCCTCCACCTCGTCACAGCTATAGAATACTGAGGGGGCAATTCTTACTAACATCTCAAGCATTTAACATATTTTAACTATTTTATCCCCTTTATCCTTTCTCCTTTTTCTCCTTTCTCTTTATTTCATAAGACATATAAGCAGTGGTATCCTAGAACTAGCTTATACTAGCCTGCAAGAGCAAGTTGTTAAATTTCAGGAACTGGTTGTCAAACATAGCCTTTATTAAACTTTTGATATATAATGTTTTAATTACATAAGTATATAAATACCAAAGAGATTTCACTTCCTAATCATTTTACTGTTTTACTGTGAGCATGCATATATAAATACATATATATACACACATACATATAATTTGTATAGTTGAAATACTCTAATGCTATCGCTTTAAAAATGCATGTTCAGTACAGAAACAGTTTTTTCAAATATTTGTAGATTTTATGTGAAGGAATAGTCAGTTTTCTGTATCTGAGGGCTCTGCAGTCATAGATCCAAGCAATCATGAATAAAAAAATATACAGAAAACATTGTCTGTACTGAACTTGTACTTTGTATTATTTCCCTGAAAATACAGCCCAACAATGCTCTGATAGTATTTCCATTGCATTAGGTAGTATTAGAAATCTGGAGATGATTTCAAGCACATAGGAGGAGCTGCGTAGTTTATGTGCAATTCTACACCATTTTGTATAAGGACTTGAGCATCCACAGCCTTTGATATCCAACAGGGTCCTAGAACCAATTCCCTATGGGGTGATTGTACAGTAAATGCCTGATTATGAAGTTATAAAATCATAAAAATTAGTTTTTTAAGTAAAAATGATCAAGAAGACTGGGTTATTTTATAAAACCATGTCAAGAGAATAGACATTTTCTTCTTCTTCTTCTTCTTTTTTTTCTTTTTTTTTTTTTTTTTTTGGCAGTACTAGGGATTGAACCCAAAGCCTTCATGCTAAGCTACAACCCCAGCTCTTTTGTTCTTTTATTTAGAGACAGGGCCAGAGTGTTGGGAATACAGGCATGCACCAACACAACTGGCTGAAAATAGCCTTTTTTTGGGGGAGGGGGTGTCACATTTTAATTCCTGAATTTTACAGTTCAGTAGAAAATAGCCTTTTAATTATATGTTTTGTCAATAGAATGTAATATGATTATAGCTCAAATCTCCATTGTCATGTGCTAGATTTTTTATATAGCTTTGTCTTTCATGCTTTTGTTTTCCCTGCTTCGAAATGTGATAACCCATGTAATCAAATGAGTAAGTGGCTTCCATCACATGCTCTGAGTAGTAAGCCTGCTCTTGTCATAGATTAAGAAAATGGAAAACCAAGAATGTTTTCCAATCTGAGCAACAAAATGCTTTGGGAAGAATGAATGAGTTGTATTAGAAAGAAGAAACTAAAACTAGTAAATTATAAAGGAGAGTAACAAGGGACATGGATGTAAGCAAAATATATGCATAGAACCACTTCCCCCTTGTGAAACTAGAGGGGAAGGCTAGGAAGTCTGGGGAGGGAAATGATCAACATACGTTAAGCGCATGTACAAATCTTCTAACATTAAACCTATTCATCTGCATAATCAATTTTCAAAAGAGGAAAAAAAAGGAACTGGAAATGGAAATTTGTGTCACTCTCATTATAATTTAGATCAGGTAGTCCTAATTTCTTATTTCAACTAAAAGGTTAAATTCTGAAATTTTATAAATTTTATTTTATTGGTACCAGAGATTGAACTCAGGACCTTCCACTTGTCAGGCAGGGGCTTGTGCCAGTGAGCTACATCCCTGGCCTGGTTTTATGAATTTTAGATTCTGTGGTAGTCACAAACTACAAATGTTAATAGACATTTAATAGATTTTAAAATACTCCCCCTCACACACACAATGGTGCCCCTTCTTGAAGGAGAATTTTGGTGATTTTTTTTTTGTTTGTTTCTCCAGATGTAATTACTCCAAATGGCTTGAACGTTAAGAAGTTTTCAGCAGTGCATGAGTTTCAAAATCTGCATGCCATGTACAAGGCCAGGATTCAAGATTTTGTTCGAGGTCATTTCTATGGGTATGCTTTCTTTATTAAAACTATAAAATGAGCATGGGAGCTTTCACTTAGAGAACAGGTGTTACCATAACTTTGTTATGGTAAATGGTTTTCTTTCCTAGCTCCCTTTGTACCTGACAGGATTCATGGGTACAGCTTGTTGTGTTGCTTTTATTTCATTCAAAATTGTTTTGTTTTGTTTTAGTCACCTCGACTTTGATCTTGAAAAGACTTTATTCCTTTTCATTGCGGGGAGGTACGAGTTTTCCAACAAAGGAGCCGACATCTTCCTAGAATCCTTATCCAGACTAAACTTCCTGCTGAGGGTAAGAAAATTCCATGTGTGCATGGACGATGCTCTTGTAAGGAGGACTTTCTTTTGTGGGATGGGAAAGGCTTTCCGGCTTCTTAAAGAGTTGTCAAGAAGATATGATTTTGAAGATTAAAACGATAACTTGATCTTGAACATAGCTCTGTTCTCGCAGTTTACAGGTCTGAATATTACATTGTTCGCTGTGCAATTTGTCTGTGTGGTCAAGTGTTTTTTAAAAGAGACCCTCACATTATATGTGCTGGGTTTTCACAAGTCATGATAACATCCCTTTTCTGTTACAGAGATTTGTAATCAGTTGCAGGATAAACACAGAGAATTCAAGCAAATGGAGAGCAAAATGTTACTCATTTTTTTTAAAGCAAGTGAGGATGTAACTTGGATATACCTCAACAGCAATAAAAGATGTCATTTGAGTATTTAAAATGGGGTGTTGTAAGTCTGACCCTTGGTATACATTGAGCCATCTAATCACAAAATTGTGACCATGGCTGTGCTACACCGAGAGACGCAGTGCTTGAGAGAAGCACGTGCTACCTGCTGGTTGGCCAAGCACTACAGCAAGAACTCACAGCTTATGCAAACTCAGGACAGAATATGCAAACTCAGGATGGATTTTGCAAACTCAGTTCCTTCGTAACTCACCAGCCAGGCCTACTCCCCAAGCTTAACTGTTAATCCAGGCAGTATGCCTCTACAGTACCTGAAAACGTAAAGGAGGAAAAAGAGGTCCTTACACCCAGCAGTGTGGAACCAGGTCTTGCTTAGGAAGGTGGACCTTAAGACAGCTTCCCAACAAATTCAGCCATGAAACTTTACCTGAGACAACTATAGAAAATACCACCACACCATAGCTGTTCATCACAGTGATTAGTTTAGATCCCAATCTTACTGCATGAAAATATAGAACAGAAAACAGGAAATACCCACAAGAACTACTGTAAAATGTCAGTCTTGTTAAGACACTGAGAAAATCTGGATTGTCTCTGGTCTGAGCTCTGTGCTGTCCTCTGACTAATTTTTTTTTTTTCTCCTTGGACAAAGATTTATCCTTGCCTTACAGCACATATTGTGCCAAGTATACTAAAAGATTTACTTAAACTACATTAAGGGAGCAGTACATTAATAAAAAACCCCACCTGCAAAAGTTTCCCATTTGGCTTTTTTTAACCTGATGAAGTTTTAAGATCTTTGCCTATAATTGTCATTAATCATTCAAAAATAAAAATTGAACATTATCAAAGAGAATAAATTAGAATTACCATTTCAATCACAATTTACTTCTCTCTTCAGCTGCTCAAAAGTATATTCTATGTAATGTACATTCACTTGTATAGTTGGAACGTAATTATTTTTCCAAAACAATTTATTAACATTTAAGTAGGTATGGTGCAAGTTTGAGTTAGTCATTTTTAATCCCATAGAGCTTTCATTATAACACATACTTGGTGCCATATTGTATGAGTTTCCTTCCTGGAAGATTTTTTCACTTAGGCATCCTGTCAATACATATTATGCTCACTCACCTGTGGACTGATTTCTTATGTCAGCTATTAAAATACTTCTTGAGAGTAAAAAAAAATAGAACTGAAAGCCAAAAAGCTTATTCTGGTACAATCTCATTTCATAGTTCCTAGTATTTGTTCATTCAATAAGCTTTATGAATGAACTCATAATGACATCAAGCATAACATTTCAGAAACATTATCAATAAATCTACCCTTAAAGTTATTACGTATTTATTTTACTTTGCTAAAAAAATCCATTGCTTTTATGCTAGGCATCAAAGGTAATTACATTGCTTAGAAAAGCTAAAAGCAAGCACTTTTTTCCCATATAGCACATTTATTCTTGGGTACCATCTTGGCTACTCCTGGGACGCATTTCCTATCTTGTGACTTTTGCAGATTTCCCAAATATACTGTCAGGTCCTAGAATGCAGAGACCCTGTGTATGATGGTAAAGTATCCCACACTCAGGAGACAAGTCTATCATTTCCACAATATATAAAAATTATATGTTTACAGTTTTAGATAACTGTATACTTTTATTTCCAAAGCTGCTTGATACATAATTTCCTTTGGAAAGGGACTAGGCCAATAGTGTGTGTGGGAAGAGGAAAAGAAATCATAGATTTTAGATTTAGAAAATTCCTAGTAGTAGTTTTGCTACTAATCTGTTATAGGAGCTCAGATAAAGCATTAAACCTCTCATGCCTTTTTTAAAAACATTAATTATTTTGTTGATATTAGCCTACATGATTATTATGGGGATGAGGTTCAATTATATATTTTAAATGCCCTGGAATAGCCTGCTATACCAAACAGATAAGCATATGGCTTATTCTTTTACTTAAGGCCTAAAAACTAGGATGTAACATAATAACAATCAAGATATTTAACAGAAAAATGTAAACAATCTTTTGTGCAAATCAGTGTGAATCAACTAAAAAAATGTGGAAAAACAAACTAGGACTAAATTCTCATCAAATTTCTAATCTGAAATTTTAAAGAACTAATTTTGGCCTTGTAATGTTAGCTTACATTTAAGTTATTTTTTAACTATGGAAAAGCGCTGTGATATCAATAGTAATTGTTACCTATTTTAGATGATCATCGCCATTCAATATTTTGTTTCTGAATTTTCAGCCTGTTAATTGTGAGATCTTGATTGCAAGTGAGATTCAAATAAAACTTCCTGAAAAAGCCTTGGAAAGATGGAAGTAATTTTTCTGTGAATTACAAATAAGTATCTTGGTCTTCCTAATGACATTTCAAAACAGTATTTTTCAAAGTTTAAGGTCCATCTGTCACATGTGTTTTTAATCTTTGACAGCTGATGTTGTGTTTTCTAATCTCTCGTCAGATGCATAAAAGTAACGTCACGGTGGTAGTGTTTTTCATCATGCCTGCCAAGACAAACAATTTCAACGTGGAAACCCTCAAAGGACAGGCTGTGCGGAAGCAGCTATGGTAATCTCAGGTTTAGTGAAGATTCTCCAGCAGTGAATGTAAAGTGATTTGTTTTTTAACTGCAGATTTGTTTTTTAACTTGCTTTGAGATTTCACCTAGAACTTATTTTTCTAAAGATTCCCCATTTTGCTCCTGTGTCAGATGCCATTGGCATGCTCCTGGCCTATGACATTATGGGTCTTATTAGAAAAACTTGGGAGTGAGTAACTGTGGAAGGAGAAACCTCTGCAGAAATCTTTAAAGATGGGTTGCATATGTCTTAAACTTTTTATTGTGGGTACTTAAACTACATGTATAATGGCTCCCTCTATACTCAGCCTGGAATCAACAATTATCAACCAATCCCCAAACTTATTGTATCTATACCTCCAGCCCTCCTCCTCCCTCCTCTCAACCATCCCTCAATTACGATCAAACAGAAGATATTTAAACTCTCTGTACTGGTCGGAGTGTCCTGTTTCCTCAGGTAAGTTAAATTGGCAAATAAAAAAGAGAGTCTATAACAGAGACCTGTAATTTCAAAGAACGGTGATGAAGCAACAGCATGGTTATGACAAAGGAAGATGAAAAGTTATGATACCATCTATATTGGAAATCATTCTATTTCAAACAGGGACACTGCACATTCAATGAAGGAAAAGTTTGGAAAGAAACTCTATGATGGCTTGTTAAGGTATGGTCTTAGGAGACGTAATACTTCAGACTTGATAATTAGATACTGCCGGGAGTGGTGGCGCATGCCTGTAATCCCAGCACTCCAGAGGCTGAGGCAGGAGGATCGTTGTGAGTTTGAGACCAGCCTGGTCTACAAAGTGAGCTCAAGGCTAGCCTGAACTGCGTAGCAAGACCCTGTCTCAAACACATACACACACACACACAAAATAATAATAATTAGATACTATCACGTATTTATTTTGTTTCAAATATAAAGAAATTAAGAGCTTTTGGAGATGTAATATATCATGTAAGCAATATTTTATCTTTTATTGGAAAAATACCAGAAAATAGTTTGTGTGCAGGAGAGCATATATGAATATACAAGCAAGTTCTTTGTCAGGGAGGAATCATTACAAGTTAAGATTCCAGTTTGAAGCTAAGGGAGATGCCAAGTCAAAATGTACATGAATTTATATATATAACATGCATATATAATATATACCTATATATTAAATCTATATTAACATATTAATACTTAATCATATTTTTCAAATAAATGAAATGTATAGTATATATGTCTGCCACTTAGAAAGCACTTAATTTCTACCAGCTGCTTTTGCTGTTATTGTTAATATTATTTTCTTCACAGAGGAGAAATTCCTGACATGAATAGTATTTTGGATCGAGATGACCTAACAATTATGAAAAGAGCCATATTTTCAACTCAGGTAAAAAAAGTACCCACCATCTCTCATGATTATTAAAGTTACTTTAAGTCAATATTTTAATATGCCAGTTGGGAAACTTTGTAGAGCTGAGAGTTAGAAGCCATTTTAACATGGTCACTTTAATGAAGCCTCTGTATGTTTTTTAGGAGTATTTTTATGGGCTTCTTTCTAAATTAAATATATATATATATATTTATATATATATAAAACTTAGCTACAATGAGGGAAAACTTGAATCATTTGTAGGAAAATGGATACACTTTGAGACCAAAATTCTAAGTGAGATAAATCAAACACACATTATGTATTGTATGGCTTTTCTTTGTATGAGCAATCCAAAGTATAAATTATTTCAAGAGGAAAATAAAAGACAGATGACAGAAAACAGGGAACAGAGGGTATGCAGGTGAGGAGCCGATCTAGGGGAGGGGCAGGAGGGAGGAAGGGAGGGAAGAGAAGTAATAAGGATTAAGATATGAAATGTACGTGTACTAACTCCTGACAATGACTGTGTTCCTTATATACCACAAACATGTACTGATAAAAAAGTAAAGCAGAAAGAACAACAAAAAATCTTTAAAAATGATGGAATTTGTCCTTGTATCCACTTACAAAATTCACTGGTAACTAATGTGTCCAGTTGAAAAACTGTACATTGTAATAACAAAAAACCTATTAAATTTTTCAAAAGGCATAGAGTTGGTCATAGTAGGAAAAATGTGAATCTTCTCAGTTGAATGAAATTATGGCAGAAAAAAGGAAAAGTAAAATAAACATTTTAGGCATGCACCCAAACTCTTGGCCCAATGGTGAGTTGCCAGGAACCAAAACACCGCTCTGCTAGAGGACTCCAGTAAAGTTCACCTTGAGTAAGATTCCAGACACCTTTATATTCCCAATAAGCCCCAGAGGCAGTCAGGAAGTTCGGCCTTTCTGTAGTGGGTGTGGGTGAAAACAAGAGCTTCGTGTGCTCCCAGTCTGTGCAGAAAGTTCTCAAAGTGATTATCATCCTCTGAAACACACACGAAACTTAGTCATCCCCATCTCGTCATCACAAAAGACTGCGCACCTAAAGGTTGCATCAAATGTCAACGGCCTGTGGTTGAAATTAGTCACACTCGTTAATTCCTTCCATGACTGACAGTTTCTTCCTCCCGCTACTCCAGCGACATTCTCTGCCGCCCGTGACGACTCACAACATGATCGATGACTCCACAGATCCCATCCTCAGCACCATTAGACGCCTCAGGCTTTTCAACAGCCGCTCCGACAGAGTCAAGGTAGAACTAATTGGTTATGAAGAGTGCTTCCAGATGACGTAGACTGTATCTGTGGGGAATTTAATAGAAGCTTCTCTTAGCTGTTTCAACCTCTACCAGAAATATCTAAAGCATCGCTAAGGAAAATTGGTTGCTTCTTGTTTTAGGTACTTAGAGTATAACGAATATTTTATATCATTCTTGAAAGCTGAGATGCTCTCATGGCTTTGAGTTATAATCCTAACCTTTGTTTTCATTGTACAGTGTTATCAATAAGCATCAGAAAAATCTCCTAATTCTCAATGATACAAATACATTCTGAGAATTACTTTAATAAATGTAGTCCTAATATGAATTATGGTCATTTCTTCCTGATAAAATTCAATTTAAGTGGATGATACAAAAAGCTTCGGGTTTTAGAGGATGATTTTTATCTAATTTTCTACTTACCAGATAATTCTTTTGACCTTTGAGTTTCTACAACTAGGCAGTATGATCTGCTGAGAGTATTTACGTGAATCGAACCTGGTTTCTCCATTGTGGAGCTTAATCTCGCGATATTTACCAAGCCTGCTGCATGTCCGCCAGGGTACCTGTGTGGACGGCAGAGGAGGACAACACATAAACGGATCATGGCTTAACTTTACTCACTTCCGTTCATCTGTGTTTACGATCAAATCGTTATAAGCTGCTCCCAATCTTTTTAAAGTCTCTCATTTCTCCTTTCTCCTTTCACTCTTAGCAGATGATTTTCTTGAGACTTCAATTAGTTATGAGCTTCCTCAGTGTCTTTCACAGTGGCCTCAAATAAACATTGTGATGATTTTCCCCTCCAGTTCGGACATTTCATTCACTCTTGTAACCTTAGGAAACTTGTTCTGTCTGTTCTCTTTCCTCGCAACTTTTAAATTTTGTTTTTGTTTTGGGTGCTGAGGATTCAATCAAGGGTATCCTACATGCCAAGCTGACACAAAACCATTTAACTACATCTCTAGCTTTCTTTTCTTTCTCTCTCTCTCTCTCTCTCTCTCTCTCTCTCTCTCTCTCTCTCTCTCTCTCTCTCTCTATCTATCTGTCTTTCTCTATCCTAGTGGAGACTGAACCCAGGGCCTTCAGACTGAGCTATATCCCCAGCCCTCTTTGTATATATTTTAAAACAGGGTCTCACTAAATTGTTGTTTCCCAGGCTGAACTCAAACTTGTGATCTTCCTGCCTCAGTCTCCTAGGATGCTAGGATCCCAGGCATGCACCTCCATGGCCAGTTACTACATTGTCTTATATTGAAGATTTCTTCCTTAGAATTAGCCTCTTTCCTTGCTTTGTACAACTATGCCTTAAATCTCTCTACACTGGAAAATATACTTTGCCTTAACCCTTTCTCCTTTTGATATTTAAATGTTCCTTTCTTTCTTATCCTTTGCTATAGAACATTTTGGAAAAAATTATCTATTCTTAGATTCTATCTTAGTTATTTTTCTCATCACTGAGACACAATACACAACACCCAAAAGTTAAAGGAGGAAAGGTTTATTTTAGCTGACAGTTGTGGAGGTTTTAGTCCACCGTCAGCTGGTTCTGAAGCACAGCCATGTTGCTGAGGGACACGGCGGAGAAACAGTTCATGGTGTGACAGGCAGGATGCAGCAAGCAGCAACATGGAGCCTCCCTTTCCCTTTTATTCCATTCAAGCTATAGGTCTACTGGGTGGTGCCAGCCCACATCCAGGGTGGGCCTTGCCATTACTATGCTAAACCAATCAGTTGACTAATTTAGTTATATTTGCTTAATCCATGTTCACACACACTAGATCTATCACCTCTGAATAGCTCCACCTATGGGTGCATGAGGCTTTGGGAGAACACCTAAGTATAAGCCATGACACCAATGGACACTGGTAAGGAGAAGAAAAAGTCGAGGATAATCACCTTCTGCCTTGAGGATCTAACCAACGCTTTCTAAAAACTAAAGCAAGACTAGGAGAAGCTAGTTTGAAGGTACTGTCATGAACTGAACTCAATTTTTGTTGTAATGAGTTTGAGTTACATGTGAGATGTCCCACCTGAGATGTGTAATAGGAACTTAGAAAGTACAGGTTTGGGACTTAAATGGCACACCGGCATGAGTCACGGACAATAAGTAGGGATAGGAAGGAGAAATGTGGGAGGGTGGAGAAAGGATGGTAGGTCATGGCCCTGGCAATGGTCTGCGCTTTTCTCACTCTTGGGAAAACTGGCTGAAAGGTCCCCTGCAATTTGTTTAACTTGTTCTCTTTGTCTCTTGCTCTCGCATTGCAGTCATTGTACATTAAGACCTCTTAACCCAGGGTCTCACACATGTGAAGCAAACACTCTACCACAGAGCCATACCTGAGCCCTACATTTTTTTTTTTATACCAGTGAAACAAGTTTTCAGGAATGGACAAGTACTAATTTCCTATGCATATTAACACTCAACACCTTTGTGTGTTTGTCGATGCTGTTATCCGTTTGTGAAATCCTCTTGTCACAGTCTTTCTAACAGTTTCTTAGGGATCCAACCTGCAAGTCATGTCCTCCTTGCTCCTTTCCCTAACAGCTTCCTCTGTGCCAGAGAGGAGCAGTTGTTTCCTTATCTGCAATCCCAAGGCACTTTATATCTGCTGCAATTATATAAATCATCCATTAAATTGTATTTTAAGAATTTTATGTGTCCATATGTTCAGAAAGGCTGTGCGTTCTTTGAAGCAGTGATGCTGTCTCGGTTACGGGCCTCTCAGAAGCAGATGTGCAGGCAGGTTAGATACACAAAAGGCTCATTAGAGGAAATGCCTGTGACGCATAAAGAGGTAGAAAGCCGGGCTAGACAGCGAGATGCAGTCAGACACCCGTGACGAGGGAGCGGGAAGAATGAGACAGGAAGGTCCACAAACTACAGCGCGGTTCCAAAATGTCTCGGTCTTCCTTCCCTTCCCTTCCTTTCCCTCCCTCCCTTTGTTCCTGCCTTTCTTTTTTCTTCTTTCTTTTCAGAAAGAAAAGTCAAATGTATGTAATGAAAAACTAAGATTAGCAAAAATTCCTTAGCAGATATACCCAAAAGTATACAGGAAGTGGCTGACGAACAGCCACGCACAAAGGGGCGGAGCAGTGGTCCGAGACCAAGCTGCATGGCTTGTCAGTTCAGGGACCTAAAACCACACACACATGCACGGATACACACAAAAATGAAAACGACAACGATTTTTATAGCACTGTCTGCAACTAACACAAAATTATTTTATCATGCTTTTTCTCTTCATGTAAAAGGTGCTTATTATTGTGCTGTGTGTATGCCCGTATGGAAGGTGGCTTGCTGTTGGCTTATTTTAAATATGTCAGTGTTACTACTACACACAACTTTGTAGCAACCCTTCTTTTCAGTATACCTTCATGTATACTTTCTATTCACCAAAGAAGTTTCCAAGTGGCAAATACAGGGGTATCTCATTCTATGAGCAAATGAATTCAGTGGTTTTAATAACCTATTCCTAGCAACAGGGCTTACACAGGGAAGAATTGCCCACTAGACATACCACCCGTAGGCACAAAGTGGGTGGGCGCTACTGTCTCTGCCAGCCTATAGGCTGAGGGGAGTGGGAAGCTGGGGCTGTCAATCAAGATCTCTGGGACCAGGACCTTTTGAAGGAATTCTGAGCTATTTTGTAATCGCACTGTCTGACTTGAAATCCTTGCCTCTTACTCAATTTGTGGGTGTTGGGCTGGGCTACTACTCTGAAAATAAACCAGCTTCCTGGAGCCTCACTTCTGTCTGAGATAAATCAAAAGCCAGTCAAACGTTTTGTTTGTTTGTTTTGTTTCGTCTTTCCTGCTAGTAGGGCTGCTGTGAGCCAAGAGTGGAGTCTCACCTAATCCTCTCTACAACCTTCAGCTGGCCTCTAGAATCGCTTCCCCTGCCCTCGGCTTCTGCATCTGGCTGTTGCTCATTGAGTCATGCGGCCATTCTGTTTGTCTGGGGACAAAATGAATGAGCCGTGACATCTTGTGTTACAAAATAGGGCCTCGGAGAGGGCAACTTCGCCTGAATTTGAAAATGCTAAAGCAGGAACAATGATTTTCCAATCTCTCTTTCTGGTTCTTTGCCAAGGGAATAGAACCCTTCGCCTGCAGATTTGATTATTGCTCAAGTACAGTTATTTGGGTAGTCTGTTTCTTTTTCTAGCGCATTAACTTTGCACACTAGGAACTGAAATTCTCTTTTGTGGAAGAAAGTGATTTATCCACTTTGCGCGTTTGTAATTCTTGTCCCTGAACAGGTCATCAGTTTTAGGTACTGGCTTTAGACATTTTACAAGCATTGTACAATTTCGTTTTATTGTGTGTTTGTTTGTTTTCTGGTACCAGGAATCGAACTCACGACCTTGCGCTTGCCAGGCAGGCGTTGTGCCGCTGAGCTAAATCCCCAGCCCCAGGCACTGTACAATTTCATTTCTTCTTCCGTGTAACATGATCCATTGAGATTTAACTAATGGCTGTAGCATCCTTGTAGATCAATGAGTTAAAATTCTCCATTAAAATGAAGACTTCAAAGCATTTTTTACTTTAATTCTTGGCATATGATGAGATTATAAAGTAATAAAATCAATTTAAAATTAATAAACCAATGGCCCTTGTTCTGCCTTGGTTTCTTTATTTCTAAAATTAGGATAATGAGAATGTCCGTGCGTCACAGCTTACAGTGTTTTTAGGATGAAATGAGGTAATAGATGTGAAAACTGTTTATGACACATGTAGTGTTATAAAAGTTATGATTATTGTTACATCTCCAAATTAGAGGTTTTTTTTCAAAATAATCTCTTTGGAAGAATAAATATTCTTATTCTGTGAATAAAACAGGAAGATACAGTGTGTCTGTTTGTTGCCCTCTGCCTTTTCCTCTTAGAACAATTTGTTGCCAAGCTCTTAGGGGGGGCCTGCATAGGTACCAGAGTGGGGAGGGTGCCCAGGCAGTCCAGAGAGAGGCGTCAGCGCTCAGGCACACAGGGGTCACACGGTTTGAAAGTCAGAGGCAGCCTGGAGCCAGGAGTACACTGCACATGTGATGGAGTGTACAGGTTTCTACGTGTACTTTTTTATTACTTGGAGTAATACAGTAAAAATCATTTATATGATTAAAACCTATAATTCACTTATATACAAATACCTATTTAAATATGGGCTTCTCAGCGTTTAAATACCAGCACACAACTGCATACTGGTCCTGGCTGACTTGCTTCCTTTTACTCTGAATAAAATGGGATTTTGAACAGGATGGGGATTGGACCCAGGGCCTTTGCATGGAGTTACATCCCTAGGCCTTTATTTTTTTTTAATTTTGCAACCAGATTTGTCTAAGTCACTGAGTTGTACAGGCTGGGCTCAAACTTACAATCTTCCTGCCTCAGCTTCCCAGATTACTGGGTTTATAGGTGTGCTCCAGCACATCTGGCTGTGACTAACATTTTTAGAGGGTCGCTTGGCTGTGTTGAATAGAGACCTCATGAAACAGAGGCAAGGACTTCTAGTAGGAGGCAGCTGCTCCTTAGGTGAGATGACAGTGACTTGGATGAGGTCCTCTCATGTGACCTAATCTAGATGAGATTCCCAGAACATCTTTCCTGTTCCTTGGCTCCATTTCACTTGGTTCATCAGGCCTGGGGTACGTCAGAGCATTCTATTATGTACCAGCTCCCCTCTCTTCTGCACAAGTTGGGGAAATTAATAAATGAGACAGGGGTCATTAGTTGGGAACAAAATATAACCTCTGTTGCTCCTCAAGGCAGGGTTAGGAGATACTGTTTAGTATGGGAGCAAAGTGGGAACTCTTGTATGCCATGCCTTGACACGGGAGGGAAAGCCACGACTTCAGAATGGATACTATTACTTAAATGGAGTAAAATGAGGGAAAAAAGACCAAGTTTTTTTCTCTTATCTCTTCCTCCCCCTATTGAATATAGAACACAAGTATTCTTATAGTAGTAAAATAACCAAATGGAGGGGACTTTTTGCTTTACTTTCTTCTTTTTCTCATTAGAATTTTTCTCCTTGATAGATAATTCTGCACCCAGAGTTTTTATCCTCCACCAGCCCTCTATTGCCCATGGATTATGAAGAGTTCGTCCGCGGTTGTCATCTCGGTGTATTCCCATCATACTATGAACCCTGGGGTTATACTCCAGGTATGTGAAAAATATCAGCAACTCTGGAGCAGTATACTATTTCATATGGATTTGTGTATATAATATTAAAGTTGATATGTAATGTAGACTAAGGTTTTGACTTTTCAGTTTGTTTTGAAAATTATTTTGCTTCGATTTATCTCAGGAGTCAATTTTATGATTTGTAGGCATTAACAACAAGGACAAGATTATGTAAGTACATACTGTATGGCTGGCATATTTTTGTCGACATCTGATTTATTGTTTGATTGGATTGCAAACAAAAAATAATGTTTTATAAAGGTTATATATTATTTAGTTATCTCCACTTGATACATATGAGAAAAAATTAGCTACAAGTGGTAGGAGAAATAATGACCCAACAATATAGTTTTCTAAAACTTATTTCAGAAAATACATTTAAAAAAATTAACAGATGTATTTATTTGTAATAAATAACACTGTCAAGTGTTTAAATAATTAAATAGCATTAAAAGGTGTATAGTGAAAAGTTGTCTTCAGATCTCTGTCCCCCTAAAAGAGGTACTGTTACAAGAAAATAGTGATTAATGATAGGTATTGTCACTAATAACATCCTTCTCTTTCAAAGCTCATGCTCCCCTCCACCCTTTCTTTTACAAGAGATGGTGGATTTTCAGATCTACTATTTGTTGTCCTTTCTGGCCTCTAGTGTCATGGTTGTGATCAAGAGTGAGGAATGTGGCAGGGCATGGTGGCTCACGCCTGTAATCCCGGCACTCGGGAGGCTGAGGCAGGAGGATCGTTTGGAGTTTGAGACCAGCCTGGGCTACAAAGTGAGCTCAAGGCCAGCCTGAACTGTACAGCGAGACCCTGTCTCAAAAAGACAAAAAAAAAAAAGAGTGATGAATGTGTATCAGTACTGAAATGACGAATGAAAAGGGAAACAAACCCTTTAAATAAATGGCAATGACAAAGACTAAAAGAATGACTTTCCAGTCTCTTGGTGGTCATCAGAGCTAGTCTTCCTCAATTAGATGCAGTTCCATTTATGATGTTAGAGAAAGGGTTCCAGAAACATTTTCATTTACAATTATGAGAATAAAATTCTCCTTCTGCATCTCAAAGCCATTAATGGCCTGAAACTCCAGTAAGGGGCAGCAGAGGCCAAGGCAAGGGGACAATAGGTTGAAGAAACGGAAAAAGTAGCCTGTTAAGGTGGGGCTGTCCTGTAACCCCAGCTGCAGTGGAGCCGGTTGGGGAGATCCCTCGAGATGAGGCTGCGCAATGTAGCAAGACCCTCCTTCAAAAAAACAAAACAGAAAAAAAGAAAGAAGAGAATAAATTTCTATTTTGTGCATTCTTCCCTCAGAATTTAAGTCAAGCGTTTAAAATCCTATAAAAATAGGACCCTACATTCCTGAGATGAATCTCACTTGATCATGGTATATAATCTTCCATGATGACTTGTTGCATTCTTTTAGCTAGTATCTTATTGAGGATTTTTGCATCTATGTTCATTAGGGAGATTGGCCTGTAGTTTTCCTTTTTGGTTTGATCTTTTTCTGGTTTGGTATCAGGGTAATACTTGCCTCCAGGAAGAAGTTAGGCAGAATTGCTTCCCTTTCCATTTCTTAAAGAGTTTCAGGAGTATTGGTGTTAAATCCTCTCTACACTTCTAGTAAAATTCAGCTGTGACTCCATCAGGACCTGGACTTTTCTTTGTTGATAAGTTTTTAATTATGTTTTCAATTTCATTGACTGATATTGGGTTATTTAGAATTTTTATATCTTCTTGATTCAGCTTTGGTAATTCATATGTTTCTAGGAATCTATTTCTTCTGTGTTTTCCACCATATTATGCAAGTAAAGATTTTTGAAGTAGATATTGATGATCTTCTGAACTTCTACCAAATCTATAGTGATTTCACCCTTTTCATTCCTTTTTTTTTTTTTTTGGTATCGGGAATCACACTCAGGACCTTACATTTACCAGGCAGGCACTGTGCCGCTGAGCTATCTCTCCAGCCCCCTTTTCATTCCTTATTGCATGAAGTTGAGTTTTTTCTTTCCTTTTTTTGATAAGGTTGGCTAGGAGTTTATTAATTTTATTTATTCTTTCAGATAACCAATTCTTCAATTCCTTAATTCTTTGTATTGTTTTCTTAGTCTCAATTGTGTTAATTTCTGCTTTGATTTTTATAGTTTCCTGCCTTCTTTGGGAGTTGGGCTTGACTTGCTCTTCTTTTTCTAGAAGCTTGAGGTGCAGCATTAGTCTGTTTATTTGTGCTCATTCTGTTTTCCTAATGTGAGAATTCACCGCTATAAATGTCCTTCTGAGGATTGCTTTCATTGCGTTCTGCAGGTTACTATTTTTATTGTTTTTTAAAATTCTCTTTACAATAAAAAATTAAAATTGCAACAAAATAGGACCCGAGAATCTTCAGTCTCTGTATATATTAATAAAATGCTACTCTATTATTTTTAGGTTCCAACAAAAATAATTTGCCAACAGCTGTAAAAATGTTAAAACTTTTTGACAAAGAATTACTACTTCTTGAAACAAAACATAAAAAATGTATCTAACTCCTCTTGATTTTGAACTACTCTCTTATAGCTCAAAAATCTGTTACTGGCATCAGTTTTACCTGTGTAGCAGTAGTGTCTCATGAAATGTTCCCATAAATATCTTAGTTCATTTAATGGAGTATTGAACAAAATATTTCACCAGCAAATGTAACACTTTGTTATTGAAATTTGTTCCTACTGTTTTTAGTAAGGAATGCAATTTACTATAGAGGTTATCACAGATAGAGGAGAAAACGTCCAAATGTGTAAGTGACTGAGGCATGTGGCAATTCATTTCTACTGGGTGAAAAGAATGTTACATAACTAACAGCTGCCTTCCCACCAGAATGCTTTTCCATAGAACAAGGTTAAACTTAATAACCAAAAATGATAGGCAAGTATGCTTAATGTTCTAAGACAAAGACCAGAAAAAATGGTTTACAGATAGGGAAAAGAATTTGCAGAATATTCCATAGATGCTGAACCACTCTGTTTTAAATTATTTTTTTTGTTTGTTTTAAAGAGTAAAAGAAGGATAACATAATAATAGGGGGGCTTACCAAATTACAGACAAAGTGGTAAGAAATTATCAATGGTTATTGTTTTACATATTGTTATCTACAAGATAGTTTCTCAGGAAAACAAATAGACAAATAATAGTGAGTTACAGACAAAAGAGGTAGGAGATTA